CCAAAAGGCAGAGCCACCAACTACACTGGATTTCCCCCATGGCCTCCAGGACATGGTTTGGGCCCTAGTAGCCATTTAATACTCTCACAGTTTTAAGTTAATTAATCATCCAGTTAAAATGTATTTTTCTTTAATTAGATGATGTTCTACTTATGTCCACAAGGTGGAGATCTTGCTTATAGTTTCAGGCTGAAAGCACCGGTATGAAAAATACATTCCCAGTTGAAGTTAAACCAAAAGACAAAAAATTAAATTCAATTTACTGAGCACTTATTTAGTGTAGTATACTATGTTAGGTGGTAAGAGGAAAAAAAAATGATGAGAGAGAGAGAGTCCCTGCCCACTAGGGAAGCTTGAGAGAAGGGAGCTTGAACAAGGAAGGAATATAACATCTTTTAATGAATTAATATATTTGATGTATCCACAGGGGAGCTATTGTAATCCCTTCATCAGATAAGAGCCATAAAAAGGCATGACCGTGGTTCAGAACAGGTTCAACAAAGATCCATACTTCAGTCGAATGTACTTACCACACCTTCCGAAACACTGAAAAGCATAGCACTAGGTCAGGGCTGGAAGGCCCAGATGTTATATGAGCATGAGACCCAGATCTGTGGACTTTACCTCTCCAGACATAGCTTTTTTTGATGCCTATGATGAGCCACAAATATTAGAGTCTCTGCCCTACAACTCAAGGGCATTTATTCTTTGGAGAATAAAATATACACGCTGCCAGCTGATGAGGTAGTACAGTTGAAAGTTCCCCAAGAACACCTGATGGGGGGAATGAAAGGAGGAAAAGAAACACTTGTAAGGAAACATTTTAAAACTCTGGCTTTCAGGAGGCAGATTCCACCCCCATAAACTCAACCAGGTGTCTAACTTGGGAATTTCTAAAGCTGTAGATTCCGGATGCAATGGGATGATGCCAAGAGGGAAGGGAGAAGGCCAGTTTGCTTCTAAGAGAATTCCTGGTGGGTTGAACGCAAACTCCCTACCATTACTTTTCCCTTTAAATGATCAAAACTGGTAGGTCAAATGCAAACTGGTGTTCTTGTTTGGTTTTCATTTGTTTAACTGAAAATTGTAGCCAGGGAATAAAGTGACAGACTAAAATGGTAGTGAGGTGAAATATAAAATAATATATATAATATAGAATAAGTTATATGTATACATATAATAAAGTTAAATGCATAATTTTCTTAATGCAGAGAAAATCAAATGGCAGACAGCCCAGAGACCTAGGTTTGCCTTTTAGTGTCTCCACTTTGCTAACTGTGAAATCCTGAGGAAGCCCCGTCCCTTCTCAGTGCCTCAGTTCCCCAGTAGGCAGAGCAGTCTCATTTCTTCAGAGAAGCCATTCCTGACACCTCTCTCCCCAGCACGAAGGTGATATCCAGCCTATGATGCGTCAATTCTCGCTTAACGGGAGACCCGGATCTGTGGACTTTACCGCTCCAGACCAGAACCGAGGACAATGGCTTTGTTGAGTGGATGCAGAAGTGAACGGGAACTGGCCTCGGTGATCTAGGTGCACCCAGAGGTTTGATTCCCGGAGTCCCTTGGAAAGGCAGAGCTGGCAACCTCAGAACTCTAGCCCGCAGTGACCGGTGGGGTGAGCGTGGGGTGAGAGAGGGGATGTCGGTTGAAAGTTGTGCGCTACAAAAAGATTTCCCTCCTGGCTGGAGTCACATACTCAGTGGCTCCGGTAGATTCCCGGGAATTTACATAAGGCAGCGTGAATCATCCTGAAGAAAGCACAGGGACCCGCCCTGATCCTCGCCTGGCAGCGCCCGGGGCGCGGTGGGGGTCTGTGTTAAGTTTGTGGATCAGGCGCTGCCCCAGGCGAAGGGA